AGGGAGTAGTTTTAAATATTAAGACAGAATTTTCATTGATTAGTAACGATAATTCTACACAAATTTCTGAGTCTTCCTCAATTTCTAAGGCAAAACTATCACTGAGAAATAATCAGAGAAATGAAATCAAAAATTCTGCAAATATAGATTTACATAGTGAGATATACAACCCAATACAAGGGAAGGAGAAAGAGAAGAGCGAAAAGAAGACAGATGATGAAAAGAAGACAGAGAATGAAAAGAAGGACGAAAAGGAGAAGGACGAAAAGAAAATGGAGGAAGAAAAGGAGAGAAAAAAGAAGGTAGAGGAAGGAAAGAAGACAGAGAATGAAAAGTACAAAAAGAAGGTGGAGGATGAAAAGATGGCAGAGAATGAAAAGGACGAAAAGAAAACGGATGAAGAAAAGAAGACAGATAATGAAAAGGACGAAAAGAAGGTGGAGGATGAAAAGATGGCAGAGAATGAAAAGGACGAAAAGAAAACGGAGGAAGAAAAGAAAACGGATGAAGAAAAGAAGACAGAGAATGAAAAGAAAGATGAAAAGAAGACAGAGAATGAAAAGGACGAAAAGAAGGTGGAGGATAAAAAGATGGCAGAGAATGAAAAGAAGTACGAAAAGAAAACGGAGGAAGAAAAGGATAAAAAAGAGATGGACGAAAAGGTAGAAGAAAAGAAGAAGAACGAAAAAGAGGATGAAAAGAAAGAAAAGGGTGAGAAAGAAAAGGAGGGTGAGAAAAAAGAAAATAAGGACAAACAAGAAGAAAAAATTGAAATCAAAGATTCAAGCTCTTCAACTGGTAACTTTACCGCAAATACGACCATTCCTGCAAATATTGGAAATTTGATCAATGGAGGAATACCCTTGGACAAAAATACTCAAACAAATTCAGAATTTCTTCAAATCAAAGATTTACAGGAAAAAGTAACCAATCAAACAAAAGATGCCTTATCTTTAAACAATAATACTGAGGAATATTTCAAAGAATCAAACTTTATAACAAATATTACAGAAAATTCTACACAATTTGATAACTTTAATAATACTATTCTTTCAAATACTACTAATGATTCAAACAACTCTACGATCATAAAAAATAATCAAAATGAAATAGAAGAACAATCCAATCAAGATCAAATGAAAATAAATTCAGTAAATAATACTGGAATCAATACAAAAAATCCACATAAAAAACGTCATCATATTTTAATTGATGACCATTATAATAATCAAAAACTTGAAAGTATTAACACAACAAAACAAGAACAAATTTCTTTTGATTTAGATAATTATCTTATCATGTATAATATAACATCAAGTGAAGATGGAACACAGAGATATATTCTAATATTAAATGAAGACGAAATTATTTTGGTAAATAAATTATTAGATGATATAGCTCCACATATTAGTCATAATACGAATACAAATAAATTACCATTATTTATGGAAGCTACTTTAGATGGAATTAATAAAGCTATTAATGTAAATAATAAAAAAACTACAACTATACAAACTAACATAAAAAAATATTTCAATAATCAAGAAGGATTAATTGGAGAAAATAAAATAGTAAATAAAAAGAAAAGTAATGATTTTGTAGGTACTATTTCAAAATTTAAAATTCCAATTGAATTATTTCCTTTAAATAAAAATCAAATTATTATTGATATTGATCTAGTACAAAGTAATATCTCATTATTTGCATATATTAAATTGGAAACTGCTTCTAATAATCCAAATGAAATTTTAAGACTTTCCACAACTTTAGCTGTTAGTTCACTTGGAGTTGAGGATACTGCTAATACTGTAAATATACAAGTAAAAGATGAAAATAAAGTCAATGTTTTACCAACATTATTCACTTTAAAGAAGGAAAATCTTGAAAATATTGACGATAATAATAATAATAATAATAATAATAATAGTACTATGAGTCCTAATTATCAAATTTCGAAACATCCAATTCAGAAATCTTTCTGGAAATCAATTCTAAAGACTCATTAAAACAGAATTGAAAATAACAACTATCAAAACAATTTAATCTAATCAATAAATAACCTACACTTATTTGCATGTGCTTAATCATTAAATTATTGATTAGAAACAATAAAATTATATGTATCCACCCCATTTATTTAATTATTAAATCTAATATTTAACTTAAGTTTTTTTATTTATTTAAAAAATTAAAAAAAAAACTATTTTAATCTGAATAATTACAATTTTAGTACTATTTGTTTTCCACTTATTTCTACTAATAATAATTTATTAATATCTTTATTCACACTAACATTTCTAATTTTTAATACAATTTCTACTATTTATAATAATACTATTAAAAATACCATTAAAATTATTCAAACAGAAAAATTGACACGTAATTACCATATTTCTTTAAACGGTATATGCGAATTTATGTGGATGCATGCAGATAGCATGCATCCACATAAATTCGCATTTTTAAAAATTGACTAGTAATATAACATCAGAAAGTAAATCTCGTGGATAAAACAAATAGAATATATGAGATATGTTAAAATTTTCAAGTAAAAGATTTTATTTTAACTTTAAAATAACTATAACCGTAGAAAAAATAACTAGTAAAATTCATAGATTTTATTTGTATAATATAGAAATATAAACTAAATCTTGGACATACTATCAAATTCTAACTCATTCTCTATCCCTACTTTCTTCTTCTACTATTTCTCTTCCAGTTTAATATAATTCTTGCTAATATGCTCGAACAATAGTACAAAGATTATACACATTTATCTTTCGATATATAACGAACTTATTAAAGTTATTACATAAATCCACTTGTTGAGAGGGGAATAGAGAGAATGGAATGGATGAAAATGGATGAAAATGGAATTAAAAGTTTTGAATTAATATTAATACTATAAACAGCTGACGCTATTTGTTGAATTATCATTGGTAATAGTGTTGAAATTAGTATTACCAATAATAATAATAATAATAATATTAGTAGTAGTAGTAGTAGTAGTAACAGTAATATTAGTGGTAGTAAAAGTAGTGGTAATAAAGTAGTAGGAATCATAGTAAAGACGGAATTTTTGCTGCAACATTCTCTTTTTAAAGAAAGAAATTGCCTTGCCTTGAAAAAATAGAAACCTTAATGTCCAAATTACTTGGTTAAAATAAATTGCAACTAATAACCTCTATATTGTTGATTGTAATAAGGATATTGTTGCCCATATGGATTATGATTCTGTTGGCCCTGATAATATTGAGGATATTGATGATTATAATAATTCTGGTTTTGATTATTCTGATAATAATAAGAGTTATTAGCAGCAGACTGTTCATTACCATAGTTTTGTCCAAAAAGTCCTGAATAACCCAAAAGCTTCTTTAACTCTTCCTCCTCGTATGTTGTATCCTCAATAACTTCAATAGCATCCACACAAATATCTGATGGTAATGCACAAACTGACCATAAAGGTAATAAAACAATCCAAATCATTCCAAAAGCAGCAAAAGCAAAACCTGTTGACAAATCAAATGTTCTTGAAATATCAACAAAGAATAGTCTTGCAAACATACTACTACCTATTCCAAACATTGAAGAATCTCTAAATGGCTGTATAGTAAGACCACCAACAAGAAGATATCCAACAATACCAAGAACGCATGTTAATGCTGAAATGAAATGAAGCATAAATATACTTTGTCTCACACGTCTTGTACGATAACAGAACCAAAATGTTAATAAAAAGATTGCTGCAAAGAATAGTAATATGATTGATAAAATAAACATTGTCATGATAACTGATGAACCAATTCTTAACAAGTGGAATTTATTACAACCAAGATTTAAAAGTTGTAATGTACCAGCTTCAAGACTACAAATAAAGTTTGTAGCATCTGAAATACTTAAATTATCCATTCTTGAAACTATAAATCTACACATCTTCTTATTTGCGTCAAAACTAACGAATGAATCGCAGTTTGAAGAAACATGTACTGTCCATAATCCGAAATTTAAGTCAATATAATTATCTATTGGAAAAACTACTCTTGCATAATGGTATGCTGGTAATGTTAATGCAAAGAAGAGCCATAAAATACCAACAACTGTCGCTATGAAAACACTGAAAACTGGACATCCCGGAATCTCATATGGAGCAGACTTTGAATCATTCCCATTATTATTTGTATTATTAGGATAATAATTTGTTAACTGGCCATATTCAGGATAGTTCCTTCCATTGTGGTATGGAACAATTGAATTTTGCTCCATTAATATCTAAACTTTATTATTCACTGTTTGATAATTAAAGGAAATTTTCTTTTATTATTAATATTAAACTGAAATAAAATATTCTCTATTGATTTGCTTTAAATACCCTTCTCTTTCCTCTATTATTACATAAATTTATCCAACCAGTATCAATTATAAACTTATTACTACTTATCTTAAAATATTAATTAATGTCCAAACAAAACTTTGAATAAATGTCCTTCAAGTATAAAATCCAAATTTCTTCTTTGTATTAAGTACTTTTTTTTCTTTCAAATAAATTAATAATAATCTCTTTATCGTTTTGTTAGCCTATTACCAAAAAAAAAATGAAACTTAAATTAATTCTATATAATGCTCTAAACTCTTAAATTTAAACGAGTAGATACATATAGATATATTCCTTAATTTTATTTATTCCAAGTAATAGCGTCTATACCAATATTTTCTTAATCAACCACTAGAGATATTTAAGTCTTGACTCTAAAGGTCAATTCTGTATATTTAAATTCTTTAATGTTTTTTTTCAATTTTTTTTTCCTTCTTTTTTTCTTCCCTATTTGCTAAGTTTTATTCAGCATTTTAATATTGTCATTCTAAGCCTTTAGTACTTCCCGCCTACTACCTCTTTCTCTAGAGGTAGTAAAATTTTTATATAACTTGCAGAAATTTACCGCCTAAGTAGACATCATGATATTTCAACTATACTAATTAAAATAATGGGTACCTCGAATTCCGACGTAGTCTAGTCGGCTAGGATACATGGCTCTCACCCATGCGACCCGGGTTCGATTCCCGGCGTCGGAGCTCTTTTTGAAAAAATACCAAACTAGAACATACAATAGGCTTTACTGACTGAATAAAGTCAAGTATTTAATGCATGGCCTGATTTTCTTTTTTTTTTTTCTTATGAAATTGTCAAAACCGATTTCTCCCCCCTCTCCCTTATCTACTACCTACTACTAACGATATTATTAGCACTCCTTTTTCACATATATTTATGATGCAAATAGGAAAAAAAACATATAAAACCAAAATTAAAATTAAATATAAATATATAACCTTAAAAATAAATAATACATAACCATACTAGCAAGTATTATAAGGATAAGAGAAAATATGTACTTACAAGTCCATACATGCATGCATATATGCAAATAGCAGGAAATGCGCGCCAGTTAGAGTATTCACCTATTTGGACCAAATTGGTCATCCATAGTACAAAATACAGAACAAAATCAATTCAATTCCACCATGTCTCAATTTTGTACCTCTATTTTCCCTCCTCTTTCTTTCTTTCATTCTCCCTTAGCAAAAGATTACTAAACCTCTATTAAAATATAAACCCGACATTTTCCTCAGGGTCTTCTGCAATTGAAATTGGACGATAGACTATTCTAACTCTGAATATAATATTAGTATCAGGGTCGTATTCAACATGAATGCCTGAAGCATAGTGATTTCCTGAATCTGGAACATTTGATTGCCAAGTCACCATAGAATTATTATTAATTAAAACTTTCTTCTGCCTCTTAACGTGGCTAAATACTTTAAACCCTGCCGGAATACCTCTAGAATCAATAGCAACTTCAATATTCTCTATATAATCAGCATCACTCTCCAAACAATCACTAATTTCATCAAAATGGAACTTCGGGCCAACTAGACCAAGATTTGCCTCCTCTAACCAAGAATTCCCACATTGAAGAGCTATTCCTTTAATGTGGTCTCCATCATTATATACTCTCAATCCTGTCATTCTTGAGTTCCTCCAATCTTCCCAAGTCATTCTTCCATCCAACTTTAGCCTTGAAGTCTTACACCAAATTCCATCCATCTCTAAGCTTCCAATGTCCAATCCAATCCAATCTGTAACAATTGTTGGAGAACTTAACATTCCTCTCATTTCTTGCTCATTTGCTTCCTCTGATGACTCTGCTACTGCTTTTGGTAATTCAAATGGAGATTTATATTTCTTCTCTTCCAAATCTTCACTCCTTGTATCCATTGAAGTTGGTCTGAACAATGGTAATAGCATTGCTATTGGAGTTGTATAATCTCCTGTCTTCTCAAATAACAATTCAAATCCATACAACCCATCTCCTCTTGTTTTTGCCTCCACATAATAATGCTGCCATTCCCCAAACTGTCTTAGAAGATTTGTCTCAAAATAGAGTTTTCCTATACTATGAGTCTTATCAATCCTGGTTCCTCCTATCGCTATTATAAACTCTTTTTCCCTCAGTCCAAAGGTTTCCTCTACAAGAATATAATTATTATCTGAAACATCCCACATTCCAACTTGCTCATAATCTTCATCATTACAAGTAATCCTCAAACCTATTAATTCTTGTTTCTGTTCTATAGAGTTCCTCTTATAAGCCATAGTTATTTGAGTAAGTTTTGTTCCTTCCTCGCACGAATACTCATCTCCAGTACTTACATCTCCATTTGCATTTGCATGACCCCATGGAGTGTTTCTATCAGTTATTGGGGCTGAACCTGACCCTACTTGATTTGATCCAAGTACTGTTCTTACCTTTGGAGGAGGACCAGAATCCCCAAAGTTAGTATATATTGCTGATAAAGCTGTTATCATTCCTTTTCTAATCTCTACATCAAATCCACTCAAGAATCTATCATGTAATTTTCCCATCTTCTTTTTCATATGGTTTCTATTGAAAAGTTTTAATCTACTTAGTGATCTATCTTCTTTATTCAATACAACTTCAACCTTTTCTATTGGCTCATTCATTGGAATCTCATACCTGGCAATATCTCCCAAAGTACTTCCAACTGGATTTAATGGCTTGCCATCGCATATTAAAGTCAAACCAATAATCGAATGAGGAATCTTTGTTGAAGTATGTACCAAAAGACCAGTTAACCTGCTTCCAGGAGCACAGAAAGTCTCTTCTGCATGAGATCCCCCTAATCCTCTACGTCCAAACCACTCCTCTCCGGGCCTGAAGTTCACAATTCCGCTTTCTATTAACTTTTCCTCATTCAAAGAACCTTCTGATTCTCCTTGGATATCTGAAGCAGAAACTTGATATGGAGCCACTTCAATATCATTAAATGTTGGATAATCATCGTAATTTGCTTTTCTCTCAAGGAACCCAATAGAAACTAATCCTTCTGGTGTTTCCTGTCCAATAAATCCATATATTTCAGATTCAACATCACCTGATGCCAATTTCTTCATAATTTCTGTTCCTGTCTCACCAAAAGATGACTTTCTATTCTCTAAAGTAACTAGCATTATCCCACTCACATAGAAAGGCTTCTCGGATTGGTTCTCAACAAAGGATCTTGAGAAGAAGTCCCCAGATTCCACTTCAGCTTCAAATCTATCTCCCATACTACTTCCAAGTTTAGTCTTCCTCCATTTAGAACCACAACGAATTCTAAGACCAACTAACCTAGAGAAAACATTATTTCCCTCAATCTTCCTTACAAACCACATCCTAACAGCTGTAATAGGGATTCCAGGTGGACAAGATGTTTCAAGTACTACCACATCTGGATCAGATTCAGGTCTAACAGCTCCAAATAGACGAATACTAATGTCTTTTGCAGTGATTGGAGGTAAATCAATAGGAGTTGCAACCCTATAAAGAGGAGCAATCGCACCAATTCTCTCACTTCTAATCATCATAGCAACTCTGAATCCATATAATTCATAACTACTTAATACATCATGTTTGAAACGAAGATCAAAAAGATGAGGAAGACCAAGATCACCAAGATAAACCCTGAAATCTACAACTGGATCCTCTTCATGAATCAGAATGTCATAAGTCCTCTTCTTACCTGCTTCTATTAGATTTGGATTCCCAACTGGCTTAAAGAACTCGTCTCCACATTGGATTGACAAAGAAACTAAGTACATTTTAAAGGGTTTTGGCTGGGTCTCACCCTTTCTCATAATTAAACGTAGACCTGTCAATGGAACACCCGTGGGACATTTGGTTTCCAGGATTGGACAATCCTTAGCAACTCTACCATAGAAGGAGCTTCTTGGAACAATCTCCTTCTTTGAAGAATTTCCAAGTGATCCAGTGTCTCCTCCTTCCAAGGGAGATTCAGAAACCTCCAAATTACCATAATCCTCCCTATCCCCAGCCTGACCCGGCTTTGGAGGCTTCTTCCAATGGAAACCAATTCCTGAAATAGCTCCAGTTTTGTCCAACTCGGCAAAGATTCCTTGTAGAATCTTTCCTCTTCCTCCCCCCTCTGATTTAGAGGATCTTATTGTAGGAGTAACCCAATCATCACCCAACTTCTGTTGTCTACCTGTTGTAGAGAATACCACCAGACTTTGGATAAACTTTTCTGGTGATAAATGCAAAGTCACAGCACTGATCATACTCCCAACCAAGGCCTTATAATCAGTTCCTTCTGTAATTCCCAAAATAACTTCCTGCCATACTCTGTCACATTCAACTTTAATACCGACCAACCCTCTATTTCCCATAAAAAATCCTTGTAATCCTGTGATCTTCCCATCGCATTTAATATCTTGGAAATCATATCCTCTTCTACCATAAATAACTTGAGGACGAGACAGTATATCCTCAGTCTTTGAGAAGAGAAATCCTAAAGATATGGAGTTTCTGTATGCCAAAGTTGAAAAGTCAGCTCCCCTCCATTTACTTCTTGGATATCCTGAAATCAAGATTCTGAATCCTGAAAGCTCATATCCTTCTGGAGCAGACTCTACAACTGAAGGTAAATTACCTCCTGCCTTACCCAAGAAACTCAGATGATTATTCTTGGTTCTCAAAGTTATTCTTCTAATAAGGTATATTGGACCTTTTTCCAATGCTTCTTCTTGATTATCTATATACACTAATCTTGGACCTTGATAGGTTGGTATAACTAACTCTCTTTGGGACTGATGCTTTACTGGGTTTAAAGTTTCAACAAAAACCCTAATTTTGACAAAAGGATCCTCTGGACGCGTCAAAACAGTGTACTTTTTCAAATTTGGGCCAACATTTCCCATAATCCTACTCCATGTTGAATGTTTAGACCCTCCTTTTACTCTTGTATCTAAAGGAGAAGAACATAAGAACTGAATCCCACGTAGATCTTTCCTTCCTTTACTTTCAGGATTGGGAAACCATGCTCTAATACCTATTAAACTTTCATAAGGTTTACAAATTATATCTAAAACTCTTGGAATTGGTAAATCATCGACTTGAATTGGACCATAAATACGAGTAGGGCCCACATAAGCTCTTGGAGCTTCTAATTCTGGACTCAAAGGAAGTAATGGTGTACCATCCTGGTTTCTTAAGGGACCCCATAACCAATTATTAGATGTGTTGTCCCATTGCCAACCCTCAATTGGAATTTGCTTATTTTCTCCATTAATACGATCCCAGTAATTGGAATCACTAATTCTATTAAAAAAGTAATAACCATAATCTTTTGGATAGGAATATAAATATCTTTGAAATACCGGAGGTTCTTCTCTTGGTGGAGGCAAACGAGATGGAACCCTTTCTCTTTCTTGATACCTTTTTGCACTTGTTTTTAAAGATTCCACTCTAACCAGCTTTCCCCCACCCCATCCTCCTATAAAAATTATTAAAAATGCCAGGAATAACGCTTTCATTATCTCTTTCCTGCACTTTTCACTTTTTCTCAATTATTTTCTCCAGACTTGCATGCAATTTCCCGCCAAAACGTTAGATCCGCCACCTAATTTTTAGATCCGGGCTTAGAGATTTTAGGTTTCAGGGAGGGAAAATATTTGGAGAAAGAGAAAGAAAAGAGGGGGAAATGGAGGAAAGAGAGAA